ATCTGAGTCACCCGATCCTGTCATTGAACCCATATCATCTCCTTCTCCAACCAGCATCACTCACAATTTTCCAAAGTTTCCTCAGGTGTATTCAAGGAGAAAAACCGTTCCTGAATTGACACAAGTCCAAGAATCCAATCCAAATTCTGAGAAAGAAATCACGGTAAGATCAGATCCACCTTTACTCACACAATCTGTTTAACAGTCCACTGATTCAACTGCTATTCTGGATATTCCCATTGCTATTAGAAAAGAAACCAGAGAATGCACTAAACGACCACTCTATCCTCTATCTCACTATGTCTTTTTTAAGCGCCTATCGCCAGCCCAAAATGGATTCATTATGAGTTTGAACACCATTGCCATCCCTCACAATGTGTCTGAGGCATTGTTAAAAAGGGAATGGAGGGATGCTATGAGAGAAGAGATGAATGCATTAGAGAAGAATAAAACATGGGAGATCGTTGATAAACCAAAGGAAAAAAACATTGTTGATTGCAAATGGATTTTTACATTAAAGTACAGGGCTGATGGATCCCTCGAAAGATATAAAGCAAGGTTAGTAGCCAAATAATACACTCAAACTTATGGGGTGGATTATCAAGAAACATTTGCTCCAGTTGCAAAAATGAACACAGTAAGAATTTTGTTATCATTGGCTGCTCACTTTAATTGGCAACTACTACAATATGATGTTAAGAACGCATTTCACCATGAAGGGGACACTGGTAACAAGGTGTGCAAACTGAAAAAAGCCCTTTATGGGTTAAACAATCTCCTAGAGCATGGTTTGGCAGATTTGCAAAAGTCATGAAAGAATTTGGGTACAAACAAAGCCAATGTGACCATACGCTTTTCATTAAGCATTCAGCTGTAGGGGGAGTAACTGCTCTTTTAGTCTATGTGGACGACATCATAATGACTGAAAATGATGAAAAAGAGAAGCATGAATTAAAGCTGAGACTAATGAAAGAATTTGAAATAAAAGAACTAGGGAAATTGAAGTATTTCCTCGGTATTGAGGTGGCATATTCCAGACAAGGGATCTTCGTATCTCAACAAAAGTACGTGCTTGATTTATTGGCAGAAACAGGGAAGATTGGGTGTAAGCCGATTTCTACTCCAATAGATCCAAACTATAAATTGGGAGAAGTTAAAGAAGAACCAGCCGTGGATAAAAGAATGTACCAGAGATTGGTTGACAGACTTATATACCTTGCTCACACTTAACCAGACATAGCATATTCTGTAAGTTTGATCAGCCAATTCATGCATGATCCAAGAGAACCTCATCTTCAAGCTGCTTACAGGGTACTGCACTACTTGAAAGGCAATCCAGGGAAAGGAATCTTGTTCAAAAGGCATGACACTCTCACTTTGGAAGCCTACACCGATGCTGACTATGCTAGCTCCCTAGTGGATAGAAGATCAAGTGCAGGGTATTGTACTTTTCTTGGAGGTAACCTAGTGGCATGGAGGAGCAAGAAGCAAAATGTAGGGGCAAGGTCATCAGCAGAGTCAATTTAGGGCAATTGCTCAAGGATTATGCGAATTACTTTGGCTGAGGATCATTTTGGATGATTTAAGAGTCAAATGGGAGGGTCCTATGAAGCTTTACTGTGACAATAAGTCAGCTATTAATATAGCTCATAATCCTATACAACATGATAGGACAAAGCATATTGAAATTGATAGACATTTCATCAAAGAAGAACTGGAGGAAGGGTTAGTATGTATGTCCTATGTTCCATCAGAGAGACAATTAGCCGATGTTCTAACAAAGGGGCTGAACAGTTCGAGTTTCCATGATCTTGTATCCAAGTTGGGAATGGAAGACATCTATTCCTCAGCTTGAAGGGGAGTGTCAAAGAATAGCTGAGTTATAATGTTGTTAGATATTTTAGATATTTAGTTTTAGATTTATTAGATTTAGATTTAGATTTGGTCATATCCATTAGATTACATTATTTAGATTTGAGTCTATCGAGTTTGTTTTAGGTTGCCTATATATAGGCCCCTAATTTTGATTATCAAGAATGCAAGCTTTAGAGTTTCCGCAAAATATTTTAACAGTTTTTTCTTGAACACCTCCCTATCAGCCTAACAATTTTTTACACTCTTGAGAACCTTACTAGTACAATCTCACAATACTAGCACACAAGCACAAGAAAACAATATACAAGCTCAGCGAGCATACTAACTAACCAATAGGTTTGCTCTCAATCTCCGGTAGTTTACAACTGAACGGGTGCTCACCTATTTAAAAATTCTATAACAGACCTGACCTAACATAGGCTAAAGTATATTCACAACCGGATAAACTCTATCTATACAAAAGATATAGATAAGCATAGACTAAGTCTGACGAATAGACATCGACTCGGTCAAAGGATAATTTAGGTACTCCCGGAATGTTCAGGAGGTTCCATTAGCCTCTGCCTCGTGGCTGCCCCCTCTCGGCTCCGTGGGTTACAACTTTGGTGCTTGTCAATCTCTCGATCACTTTGGGGCTTTTCCTCGATCATCCTCAGCCACATGTTTGGTTCAGGATACTGGATGTCTCTTTAAGTTTCTTAAAGATGACTTTTATAAGATCATGCATAAACTGATGATAACATTGATTGAGTAAGCTATGTTAGGCCTAGTATGCACGAAATAGATAAGCTTCCCAACAAGTCTTTGGTACATCTCTCTGTCAACTGCTTTATCTTCAAGAACCTCACTTAATTTGTGATTATGTTCAATAGAAGTTTCAACTAGTCATTTGATTTGTGATTTTGTTCGTTCAATGGAAGTTCCAACTAGTTTTCAGGCGTCATGCTAGTTTCCTTGCTAGATCCATAACATACTTTTGTTAAGAAATAAAAACCCCTTACCTTGATTGAGCCACTTTAATTCAAAAGAAATATTTCACTTTTCCTAAATCTTTTTATTTCAAATTCCTTGGCCAGACACCGCTTTAAACTCTCTTTTTCAACTACATCATTTCCCATCACTATAATGTCATCCCATATACAATCAAAATGGCAATTCCCCTTAAAGGCTGAATGCTTTATCAAAAAGAGTACCAACTATAAGTTTCCACGTCATCAAATAAAAAAAAATTAAAAAAAAAATCAAAAAAAAAAAAAAAAAACCCTCACCTTAAGGCTGAATACTTAATTTATGATCTTCTTGACTTTGCTTGTAATCATTAGCTATCATTACCTTGGCAAATCATCCAAACGAAGCATGTGGTGATTGTTTCAGCCCATATAATTTCTTTTTTAATAAACAAACCTTGTTCTTGTCAACCTCACTGAACCCCGGTGGAATGCTCATATATATCATTTTTTTCTAATTCTCCATGAAGAGAGGCATTTTTCATATTGTATTGCTGCATTTCCCAATCAAAATTTGTATTGCCGCATTTCCCAATCAAAATTAACAGCTAGAAAAAAAAATAATAGCCAAGGTGTTTCTTGATAATTTACTCCGTATGTCTGTATGTATCTTTTCGCAACTAACCTCACCTACGCTCTAGAGACTTATCTACCTTAAACTTCAAGGCAAACACCTACTTACATCCCACTACTTGCTTATTGTTTGGCAACTAAACTAATTCTGAAGTACCATTCTTTTCTAATGCAATAGCAAGTCTTCATTCTTTGTTTGATAATGCTTTATAGAAATAGTTACGTGTGCTTTATAAATAAATCCCAGAGACTCTTGTGCAATCATCAATTAATGTGACAAAACACCTAGACCTCGAGTGTTTGGAATAACGGATGGCCCCAAAATATCACTATGATTAACAAAAAATAAGAAGATATCTTTTTTTATTAATAGCAAATGGAACACACATGTGTTTAGCATACTCACAAATGTCACAATAAAGATATTGAACATCAACCCCGTTGAACAATGAAGGAAACATTAAATAAGTGAAAAAAAAAAAGACAGATGACCTAGACGTTTATGATATAAACAAATAACATCTTCATTGGAAAGGGAAGACAATGTATAAGGTAGATTTACCAAATTCTTGTTGAGTAGAGATATTGAAGTAATAAAGTCCACCATGCTTCTTAGCTAGTCCAATCATCTTCGCGAAGATTCATCAAATATAACTGAGCTAGTTAGATCTTTGCCAAGTTTTTTTACTGAAACCAAATTTGTATAAAGTCAAGGAACATGAAGAACATTTTTAAGAATTAAAGTTGGAGTGACTTCGACATCTCCGATTCATGCCACTGTGGTTATAGTGTCACCAACAACCTTTCTATTGGTAGGACAAGGTTTATGGGTTTTGAATTTGTTTGAAGTATGGGCCATATGATCCATAGCACCAGAGTCAAGAATCCAACATTCCTAAACTCATTGCCTAAAACATTAATGAACACATAGCTTGGTTTGTTGGTTCAGAATTGCTAGTTGCTGATTTTCTAATTGTTGATCGCATATTTCTAAGCTTCTCAATTTCTTTCGTACTAAATCCTTTAGACACTGGAGTTGGACCTTGAACTGGCACATAAGCTTGCTTTGTTGGCTGCCTTTTTGTCCCCATTTGCAAGTGGGGTGGCTTCCTATGTAGTTTCCAACATTGCTCTTTAAAAAACCATTATTACCTCCACTAATTTACCTAAGTCCTAAGATTACACATTCAATACTTCCTACAACGAATATATTTTCTAGTTTCTCATGTTTAATTGAAAATTTTAGGATGTGATGGGATAAAAACAAAACAATGGTCCAGCTATGTTTTTACACCTTACCCTACGGTCTACTCTTGATTGAATTGCAGCTACATTACACATCTTTCTACAGTGACATATTATTCATTGCCACAACCTACTAAAATATAAGTTACACATATTGAAATTTCCGATAATCAACTTAACATCATAAAACCTGCCATTAGAATGTAGAAAAAATATTTCAGTATGATTTAGCTACTAAAATTTTGTGATGTTAAACAAAAGTTAGTGGTAGACATTGCAGTGAGTGGACAAGAAAATTACATTTTACAGGGAATGAAAACATACTGTTGATCAATCCGACATGTTAAAGTTGATGCTATCATGGATCTGAGATCATCATCAGTCAAATTTTTTCTTGAATAGCCAAATATACCAACATTCTGCATAAAGAGAGCTCAATCAGAAATTACATCACCTACAGAATGTCTTTCCTAACTATGACAACAGATAAAAAGAATTCCTCTGTAGATCATTAGATAAAACTTCCATAGACAATCATATGGAGAACACAACATATATAACTTAAATGTTCATAGGAATATATTTTGTAATTGTTAGATACTTATGATTATTTTAGGCTTAGGCCCATTTATGCTATCGATATTTACTTGAGTTAGTTCTTAGAATTGTAAGTAAACTATAGAATACAAATTCACACGATATCAAAGGCATGCTTTATTAGAGTTTAGGATATAGAATACAAATTCACATGACATCAAAGGCATGCTCTATTACAGTTTAGGTCACCTTACCACTATCAAGGTTGGCGCCATGGTTCGCTGCTACAGTCTTGAAACCCTAAATTTGGGTAAAATGCTAAATTTTCTCTGGCACCATACAGAGGGCTGGCTCTTTGACTCATCCAACACTAGATTCTGGTTCCTAGTCCCCCAGCATCGCCATCCATGGTTGCCGATTTTCCGTCTTCCACTGCACGTGCCAATACCAGACTCTGGTTTGTAATGCCGCATTCAAACACGTGCAATGCCAACTGTTCATAATTTCAAGGCGCACACCAATCAATGTAACCACCACCAGCCATAGTCATGCGTGTGCCACAGGTTCATTTGATGCTTATAAATGTCGTCTACTGTAGAACTCTTTGGACCCGGTCATGCTTCCTATGGGTACAGTCATTTGAAACATGTGATTAAGTTAATAAAGCTGCCTTGATTTATAGCTAGCAATGACATTCAGTGCTATTATGTTGTTTCTAGTTTTGTCCACCTTAAAGATCACTATTTCTTCCTGGCTGCATACAACTTGTTTTGGCTGCATATGTACTCGAATCCATTTGGAGCAACTTCGTTTTCTTATTTTTACTAACTATACAGATCTAGAGGTTGAGTTGGACAAGCTCCTTGTTGTTCTGGCTCTTGTTCATCTTTAGCCTATGTTGGGAAGTGATGGATCCAACAATACACCTTCGAATACTTTAAATAAGGCCAATTCTCGAAACGTGGTCAGTTCACAGTTATAACATCATCTTGTCAACGTATTAGATGCAAAACTCAAAAGAACAAATGAATCAATGTATTTGTTGACCCATTTCGGTTATGAATCAACCTATATCCGGAAGATACCAATTTAGAAGAGATTCTACTAATCAATTCTTTGACCCAAACTCCTATCATGGTTTACCTTGGATGATACCTCCACATATGGACAAATGGTAAGAGTATCACACAATATTTCTCTCTCTAAAACACACCTTCAAACTCACTCACAACAAAACTACATATTTGTCTGGTTGTGTATACACGTGTATCCTTGATTTGTAAAGTCCCATATTAATTTCCCTCTGCATCGAAATAGGGTGGAGTGAATTTCCATGGATCTGATGTGGTTTGACCTTTCCTTAACTATACATTTCGTCTTTTGTACACTTTTAAAGAATGAGACAAATTGAATATAGCCAAACCAACATAACTGGCTACAGCACGATTGCAATAGTTGATTCCTTGTAACCATTATTTGCGAAAAATAGAAATAACTTGATGAAAGGAATTAAAGGCCTTATGTCCATATGCCAAAATAACTAGGCGTAATTTTCATTCACATGCTCCCATTTTTGGCATATGGATCCATACAAAATGTGCATGAGATAGTCTCCTACACCATCAATCCACAAATTCAATAAGCACCAAAATATCCAGTTCAAAATAGCAAATTACATGCCGAATAACAAAAAAAAAACTACAGGCGGTCTTGCATAACAAATACCAGGATGGTTGTGATCATCAGAACAACAACCACCTGTCCTGATCAGCAACATCACAAAGAATAGCAAACAACAAACGACTCAAAACTCCCCCTCTCATGCACCTTACTCCCTAGTCTAAGAATTCACTTACTTCTGTCTCCTTAATCTCCAGTGGCACAAGGTTCACTAAGGAATCTTCTGACAGTGATCACCCTGGCTTTCATGGATAGTTGTTCATACAACACTTTCTAAAGGATTTCCTTGCTTCCATCAACTGAGCAGCCACATTCCGCAAAGTGGGTTCAGTAAGATCATTGTACATTCTGCTCAAGTTGGCGTTCGATTTATAAGACCTAATCGGAATCACATCTTCTCCTACCTCGGAAAAGATCTCGTCTCAAAGAACAATGTGATTAGCGCAGGATATGTTAGCTTCGTAGCTTTTGACTTTTGCCTCCGAGCAAACTTCACCATTTTCAATAGCACAAGGAAACCAAAGTTGAGGTGAGAACAATTTTTATCGATGCAGTAGATGAGCTTACACATATCCAAACCGATGCACGAATCATTGCTTGTTGGAAGAACATTATAAGCACAGAAATGAAACAAGCATTGAAACTTCATAGTAAGTCCCTTCGAACATAGTCCAGTGTAATCAAAATTTCCTGATTTTCTAACGGAAATGTAGAAGGCAACATCTCGTTTCTTCTTTGTCAGAAGTGAGGACGGTAGACTTTCTAGGTTGTCTGATGGTCGTTGTTCTAGGTTGTCTGATGGTCGTTGTGACAAAAGGAATGAGGGACTCAACTCAATCATCTTCCCACGAACATAAGTTCGATGCAACCAGAGGAACCTTCATTCAACAGAAATTTTGGAAGGTTAGCATAAAATTCTTTTACAAGTTTTGGACAATACCTTTTAAGTCTCGTTGCCTAGAAAAACAGTCTATTTTCACACTAGTAGTATGTAAAACCAACTTCAACATGCAGTTCATTGGTAAACTTCATTTCCGCAATAAATCATTTGTTGGCCAAAACATCGTACTCATAAACTTCTACTAAGTCATCAAAGTGTGTCATGTCCATGGCATCCTCGGCCACCATCTGACTTAGTGCGGCAGTTTATGAAATTGATTTTGATTTCTTATTTTTAGAGGTTTTTGGAGCAGCACCACGTTTGGCTTTCGTCTTTACTAAATCAAAAATTCGAACAGTAGTTTTCCGCTTACCGTCTGCCTTGCGACGACGAAGCTGACGAGATACAACTTTAGAAAACAGTGCTAAAAAACTCAAGTACTGTGTTGAGAATTTAACTGGGTCATGGATTATGGACTCTGGTGCATCATTCCGTGCTACATTTAGCACGAAGACAATGAAGAATCTACGGACAGGTAACTTTGGTAAAGTTTGTTGGCCAATAACGACTCTCTTGACATCGCAGAGATGGGTGACATAGATTTAAAGACCTCTTGGAACACCATCTGGACGTTCAAGGATGTTAAGGTAATCCCTGGTATTAAGAAAATGCTCATCTCTATTAGGCAGCTGGATGATCAAGGATATACCATCACATTTGGAGGAGGGCAATGAAGAGTCGTCAAAGGCAATCCGCAATTGCTAGAGGCAAGAAAAAAAAAACCCTGTACATGGCCAATGTCTTTGAAAATGAAGCGAAGGCAACGACCATCAAGCAAAATCCGTCTATTTTATGGAATTGCAAACCAGGCTATTTATATAGGATGCTTTGTAGTGGGGTGGTTCTGTGGAAGGGCTTACGGAGGACGTCGTGGATACACTGACCTAGAACCTGATACCATTACTCAAATGGTTTAAAGTCCTTTGAAATAGCAAGAAATTGCTGTTGAAACCGTACTTGAATATCTGGCTGGTGAGACTGAAAATCAAGAAGGAAATGATCCAGAGTAGGCTGAGAATGAGGATGACAATGTCCAGAAAGGTGTTACTGCTCGTGATGCTAATGATGAAGTTAAAATAGGAAATGCTAGCCAATGAGTGGCTGAGGAATCGGAATCCGAATCTGAAACCGAAACTGATAAAGTAGTTGCAGCCTGCAGGTGATAGAGCAGATGAAGGTCGTTATAGCCGATGTTCAAGAGGCTGAAAGATCAATTGTTCATGAGGAAAATCAAGTATAAGTGGTTGGTGGCTCATCTGTTGTGGTGACAGAGAACAACAACCCATCATTCTTGCTTTGTTCATGAACCTTAATCCATCCCCTTATATCATCAACAAGCATGTAAGTGGACTCCCATCTCCACAAGTCACGGAGTCCCCTGCAAAGAGAACTGCTATAGTAGTTATGATGAAAATTGATACCGCTACTGCCAGCAAAGAAAGAGAAACAACTGTTGAAATCACGTCCGAGGAACAACTAGTTCAACAAGAAGAAAAGGTTACAAACATCTTTGTTGTATCTCGTCAGCTTCATCATCGCAAGGCGGGCTGTAAGCAGAAAACTATTGTTCAAATTTTTGATCCAGTAAAAAAAGAAAGTCACACGTAATGCTGCTCCAAAAACCTCTAAGAAGAAGAAATCGGTATCAACTTCACAAGCTGCCGCACCAAGTCAGATGGTGTCCAAGGATACATGGACAACACATTTTGATGACTCATCAGAAGTCTATGAATACGATGTTCTGGCCAACAGAAGATTCATTGCGGAAATGAAGTTCAGCAATGAGCTACATGTCAAAGTCGGTTTTGCAGATTACTTGCGTGAAAATAGATTGTTCTTTTGGGCAACGAGACTTAACAGGTACTATCCAAAACTCGTAAAAAAAATTTATGCTAACCTTCCAAAATCTGTGTTGAATAAAGGTTCCCCTTGTTGCATCGAACTTATGTTCATAGAAAGATGATTGAGTTGTCCCTCCGTCGAGTTGTTACAACTACCATCAGAAAACCTAAAAATTGTCATCGTCACTTCTGACAGAGACGAAACGAGATATTGCCCTCTACATTTCCGCCAAAAAATCAAGAGATTTTGGTTGCACTGGACTATGTTCGATAAAACTTACCCTGAAGTTACAATGCTTATTCCGTTCTTGTGCTTATAATGTCCTTCCAACAATCAATGTTTCGTGTATTGGTTCGGACATGTGTAAGCTCATCTACTGCATTAATAATAATTGTTTTCACCTCAACTTTGGTTTTCTTG